ACCATTTCGGTGAATTCTCCGGTTTAGATCTTTTCAACCTAGTTTTCAGTATTTGGAGATGATGTTGAAACATGTTTGATATAGTTTTTAGGAATTTGGACCCTTTATTGTCCCGATATGTACTGATGTCTGGGTCAAATATGGTTTTAAACCACTGTGCAGTGCATAAAAATGTATGACACAGGCTGACAGGATTAGGGGAAAATGATGATGTTGGGGCAAGAAGTCGCACATTGATTTAACAGAAGTGCAGCTGACCCAAAGTGAAAATGAAGCAACTACGCACAATGCTTGAGGGACCAGACCCACAGTGCTCATGAGAGGGCTCAAAGCGCCATGAGGCACATAAAGAAGAATTAAGATTATTGGTTGAGTGTCCCAGCATCCAAGAAGACTTTGCATGGTTGTTCAACCCTGCCAAGAAGGAAAGGGTTAGCCCCAAGCATCACTTAAAATGGCATGAACTGTATTTAATGCTGAAAAGCATTGGACGTACATGTAGTCTAAGGCATTCAGAGGTTAAAGGGCATGAAGCCATATGGCCATATGGACAGATCGAAACCTTGCCATAAAAGTTCAATGGATCCATGTAGTATTCCTAGTAGGGCTCCCTCTAGTAAAGCTGACATCAGAACAGGCACTGAGAATGCACAAGAACATCCTGAGGAGGTTGAACCTTGGGGTGATGTGGATGAAGCAGTCCTCCCAAAACCTTGTTTTTGTGTCAGTCGTTTTCTCCTGAAACTTTTCCCAGGGTATCTGGAACTTAGGCTGGCTGCAACCTTCCTTGGGTTGCAGGTTTTATCTGCAGGGGGACTTGTCGTCTTTTCTACCACCAGCCTTCTGGTAATAATTGATAATTGATTCAGAAATTGGTCATTTCTGAATCAATTATCAATACATGTATCTTAACAGTAATCTATGGTCTTGCTTTGGTTATCGTCTTCATTCTACTGTCTTGCCTCCGGTCTTATCCTGGCCCAACTCTAGCCGTACTGGCTCAAGCTCTTGTTCCTCATTGTCTGAACGCTCTAGATGATTGTTTCCTCCTCTATCCATACCATCCAAGGTTAAAGACAAGGTACATGTAGGTCTTGGGTGTAGAGAAATGCATGGAGCTTCGAAAGGTACACGCATGTGTCCTTTTGAACCCTGCCCACCCACTTTAAGTGACAAGGTCGCTTGTTTGGGCCCCACTGTTTACATGTACCCTTGAATCTTTCACCCATATCTCAGACTACAGTCTCCGAAGCCAGTACAGATCAGCGGTGCGTGTAAAACACTACCTCATAAGAAATCACCACTACCAGCGGACCAGTACATCATAGCACTTTGACTCATCTGGCCGATCTGACTAACTCCCCATTTCCCATCATGAACACAATAGCCTTAATCTCCTGGGCTCACACCATGGCAAGTCTCTAGGATCCAATAAACCTGACAAAGGACTCATTGGTCACCCATTTGGTAGAATGACACAAGTGATCACTATCTAAGCCAAAGAACAGGACAGAACCTATCATACCTGACATGCTGGTCGAATTAGTTCACAAAATTGGAATGGACACAATCATCTCTAATCTGATGAATATTATGTCCTTGGCTATGATGCTTATTTACACGGTTTTTACGTTTCAACCCATTGGCTGCTCTTAAACTTAAACATATCCAATTTTTAAATTCTCTATCGATATCAGAATCGAGCAAAACTCAAGTTTACAGACAGGAAATGTAGTGTCAGTAGCAAGGACTCATTTCTTTACTTGTCGAGTAGTCATGTTGGAGTTTTTTTATCTCTAGCAAACATCCATAATTCTGATGAAGATGTACAGTATATGTAATTAAAAATCTGTCTGAAACCAAAACTACAAAAACATACAAGACGCTCAAGAAACAAAAATAACAACAATATTGTTTGGAAAAACTCTGCAATGTTTCCAACTTTTTACAAAATTTCTTTAGTGAAAATTTTTTTTAAAATCCGGACAATAAATACTGCACACCCCACCCCTTGATTTCCCACTGGCGCGAGATTGCCAAAAACTTGCTATGATTAATCAACGGACAATTCATGTGCTACTCCTCGTGTGTTAAATCAGATCTTATACAGACATACATGTACAGTAAAGTCAGAGAAGGTACTGCATGCAAAAGTCGTAGATCACAATATGTTAATGTTGGACATCGACCTGCCGTTTCCTTTGGCAGGATTGCGACAAAATTCAGAGAGTTTACATTAAATCTGAGCCTTAAAATGTATGTAACTTCACTCATTATTGAACACTTCTGAGGGCCCATTCAGCTATGGTGCACCAAGCTTTAAGCTTACTACGTGTAGGTTTCACTCAATTCAAGAAGAAATATGTAATTAGTCTTGAGTTTTGCTACTGTGATTTCATCGTTACACCATGTGGTACTAGCCTTGTAACAAGGCGTCCATGCAGATTCACAGACTATATTCCCCATGTGTGCAAAAGTCATGTGTGAGTAAGAACATATTTGAGCCTTGATTTCATTGCTAGTATGGTGCACGTGTGAACGGCCAATATGCATACAGTGTGTATGTACACAATATACCGTACCACACTGCTGTGCTGTGCCAGCTGCCGCTGCACGCATGGGGCTCAAGCAAAAATTTTTTTTTTGCGTTGGGGAGATGTTAATTTATACGACAGGTTTTGCCCTTACCTAACATATATATTAATAAAATATTTACATAAATTAACATCTCCCCAATGCAAAACTACATCTTGAAAATAGTTCGTGGTACCCGCTGCTTCACCTGACTCGGACCGGCCAGCCAACCCCGGCAAGCTCAGTGGTCGAGTGGTTAAAACGTCTGCACCAGTAGGTAGAAGGTCGTGGGTTCGAGTCCCACCCGAGTAAGCTTGTGACTTTTTTCGCAAGCTCTCGGACAAGCACTGAGCATACAGTGTTTGTTAATATATTCGTTGGGTAAGGGCAAAACCTGTTACATAAATTAACATCTCCCCAACGCAAAAATACATCTTGAAAAGGTAAACTTACTGATCGCTAACATTCTGAAAAGTATATCGCTTTCTTGTTAGACCAACTGCAATTTATCGACTAGTTTCACTTTATAGAAATCTCTCTCAACAAGTTGGTCAAAGTCTGTCCTCGAGACGCTTTTCCTTTTACTCATAGACTGTTTATCTATCCATGCAGACCTCTTGTTACCTAAAGGCATTTATCCTTAGGAATACATAGACTCATTTGACAAGTCTGAAGAAACACAACTGCCAGAGTGAGAGAACTTTTACAGCGCTCTAAAACAAGAAACCGTCACAGAGCAAGACTACACAAGAGCCCAAGGAGTTTGGACCACTTTCAATAGTTAGACTTTGGGGACTACCACAATCTCAATGTCAAAACAGACACGCTAATACTCGCGGGCATCTTTGAAAACTTCAGTCGCGTCTGTTGAGCAAACTACGGTTTAGACCAAGCCAACCACTATACAACACCCGGTCTCTCAAGTATCTCAAGTGTAGGTAGCGCTCGGTATTTTAAAGCCAACAACAAATACTTGCCCGACTACGATACTAAGAAACCAGATTCTTATACTGGCTATCTCGACACCAACGATCTTTACAGAGGAGCCATGTCCGTAAGGACAGTAAGTAACTTCTGTTGGGTTGAACCAAATCAAGTTTACTACCAGGCATGTGCTAAACCTGTCTCCAACGTCAGCTAGAGGCTACATGTATCTACCTGAACTTGAAGTGGATCTAGACTACCCCCACGACCTGCACAACGATTTTCTCTTGGTTTCTGAGAACCTCGTGATACCCAAAGATTGGTTTCCTGAGTGCCAAAGAGACTTGCTGCAGGTGGTATTTGGGGTACCAAGAGTCAGTTTTTATGTCTCCACCCGTAGAAAATGATTAAACCATAAATGTTATTGAATCTTCATTCAGTGCATTGTCTTTATACTATTTGCAATCCATCCCTTGCAATTAATGCAATAAAAACAGTTATCACAGTTGAGTTGGTGCAATTACTACACGCTTCACATTCTATCACAATTGACACTCACTACACAGTTATCACAATATTTGCATTTTTCACAACAGTTATAATTCCTACACTTTAAGCATAGCAAGCTTCACAGGCCGTACAATCTTTGCAATCGATACAGCTACCGGTATCACAACTGATGCAATATAACGCGTTGTAAGGTGTTTTGTTGTTCGTAGTTTAGTTTTAGCAACATAGTATTTTTTCAATTTTTTACAATCTGGTGAGTAAGCTTGAGGTCTTCCATTTCACTTTTGGAACAGGAGACTTTTTGTTTTGAGAGAGTCGTGAGAGTTTTGGAGAAAGAGAAAGTTTGATAGAGTGAGACAGGGTTGAGTAGCAGAACCGGTTGGTCAAAGTTTTGAGTTTTTAGGGTCAGAGGTACCCCGAAAAAATTAGACTAGGAACCGGCTCAATCCTACAACTGAAGATGGTATGGCTTGACTACAAGTACTAATTACTTGGAGGGGTTGTACTCTGTGCTGTGTAAATATTTGATTTGAGATATCTGAAATAAATGTTTTAATGTGATACATCAAATTTTAATTCACCACTGACCCTGCTGAGTGCACTGATTGGTTAACGTCACCATCTGCAAATTTAGTCCCACAAATTGAGAAAAAATCCCCATTTGCACCATCAGATCTCACCATAAAAATGCACTGCATATGTATGCACTGCACCATTTGAATAACAGTAGGAGAAGTCAAAACACAGTGAATTGTGTTACTCATACTAATGCGGCACCAATGGATTTCAAATGAAGTTTGCCGACAAAACACCACTAACAACTTGTTATTAAGTCATTATCCAATCAACTCCTACCACCTTCGCAAAGTCATCACAAATTTTCAGGTCCCAAGAGTGCCAGCTTAGTCAGTATTTAAACTAAGTTCCAGCTACTGTACATGCATGGAAAATGTTTGAGATCATTCCAGTCAATGCACAAAGCCACAGCTTACCTTGCCATTTTACAGTAAGAAGGCAGTCAGATATTTCTGGGGGAAAAACCTGCTGACATCAGTACAAGCTGTAGTTGATTCTGAACCCCCTAAGACAAAAAGAAGTACGTTTAGAATGGTACATGTATCTCAGCTTGTTCACAATGAAACTACCGGTACTGGTAACAGTGGAAAGAGTTTCATACACAGACAACACGTGACACCCCGTGCACAAACCCTGAGACTGGTCTGTTATATTCTTAGAGTTTTGTAACTAATGCGTCAATATTTTCACTGCTAAAATTTATTTTAGGGCATGTTATCACTATGATAACTACAGTAGCAAACCACTGCAAGGGAAAACTGGTGATGTCCATACTTAAAACCAAGAATTAATTGAATAGCAAATCAAACAGTGTTTGAATCATTCTCATAGGTGATCGCGTTTTGGAGATACCATTCCTACAATGTATGAGCCCTGAGCCGGACCAAGAGAGGGTACCATTTTCAATGCAACCAAGGCTTTCGTGTTGAGAACTGCACTTTGCTGGTTCGCAAATTATGAAATGCACATGTTACAGTCCAATTGCTACCAACGGCATGAACATTCCCTATCACCATGACTATTTTTGTGGGATTATGTACTTCAGAACCACTCCATTTTTATGATTCTTACAAAACAGGTCAGTACCCAAACAGTGCAACCTAAGGCAATGTTTTTATTGTGTTTTAATTCTGTTAATTGTGACCACCCTGTTTTTTGTGAATTCAGAATTGTAAATTGTGAGAAAAATCTGACTTTATGACCGATAACCAATCGTGTGAAAGTTATTCCTCCCAAAGTCGTATGTATTAACACAGACGTTTTTTTATCCCACAATTACCTTCTATCATGTCTATGATCTAAATCTGGTCCTTCTACAAACTTAACCCTACACCTACATGAATTGTATTCAACATGATGTCACTGTCATTTCTTAGTTGGGTCTATAAATTCGAATGCAACTCATCATTCTATTTATAGGAACAGGGTCCCAAAATACACAATCCCTCTTTCAATCTGATGGGGGGTGCTTCTGCTCAAGTTGGACTTGATCCCTGAGAACTGTACACAGGGCCCCTTTGTATACCCCTCCATTGATACTGTGGGATTGTAAATTTGGGGACCCTGTCCCTATAATAGAATGAAGAGCTACATTTTAGCTTTTGGATTCACCTTGGTAAAAGGCAGGGTTTTTCGTTCTGTATGAGGGAAAACTGTGAGTGTTTTAACACGACACATGGTGGATTCAAATTTGCTGATTTATCAGTAAGAAAGTCAAATTTCCTCATAATTGACAACTGAAATTTACCAAAAATAGGGTCAGCAAAATAAAAAAGGGTTGCCTTTGTTTTGGGGTTTTTTTTTGGGGGGGGGGATTACCAGTTTTGCAAGATTAAAATGACAAAAATAGGGGGGGTCCCAAATATACAATACCTGAATGATACTGGGCCCGACGGTTACATGTACATGAGGCAACTTTTGTTGGGTGTCAGTCACTTCCCCCATTTTCACTTTACCTCATATCATATCACTCCAAAATTGCCAAATCACTTTGCCCCATTACCACTTCACCCCAGCAGTGCTTGATTGCGTTTGGACATTCTGGCATAAACAAGATGCCTTCTGTACATGTGCAGGTACTACGAGGTAGGTAGGTGGTGAGGATTGTACAATGAAGGGAATACATATGTACTACCAGGGTGTACATGTACATGTACGTAAACTCGTGTTGAAATTGGAGGACTTGGGACTGTTAGGGCTATAACTTAATAAGTTTTAGGTTCTCAACTAAGTCATGAAAGAGATTAGGCAATGCTGTGTGAGGACAGTCAAGCGAATGTATATGTACATAAGTGCAACAAGTTATAAGGGGCTTCGAGGCTCTACTTAACCCCAGAACTGTGGGGCCAGGGTCTGACATCCGTCCTCTGATTCCATATATAGCTCTCCGCCCTGCTCCCACAAACCCACGAATCAGTATGAAATTCTGGGCACATGTGGAGTACATGTACAAACGGACACAAGTCAGGTACATTTGAGAAAAAGAAATAAAAAGTAGTAGGGCATAAGTCTGAAATTGTGGGTGCATGTGCATGTGTGGCAAGTATAAAATTGTGGGCAAATGTGGAGTACAAACACCAGCCACAAGTCAGGTACAGTGCTCAGTAGCCCAACATACCTGCCAACCTGCTTCCTGAGGGCAGGAATCACCACATAATACTAGATTAGAATTTTAAATGAACTGAGGGTTCGTAAAATAAGCCAACTTTTAAATCTATTGTGTGGTATTGCCTGACCTCAAGGAGTACGACAGGTTGGTAGGTCTGCAGTCATGGCAGTAGCCCCACTAGTCATGCTAGTGTACAGTACATGTGGCGCGGACTCCCACTCCGGATCCATGGATGGATCGGGAGTGAGAGTCTGCGCCACACTAGTGACGCTATCATGGCAGTTGCATACGTGTACAGTAGGACTACATTGTACCTGTTAAGTCTGGTTCTACTGAGAGCAGCGTTATTATTCCTCTTTTTTTATTTTGGACGGGATCATCATACTACCAGCGCTCCACGATATTATCGTGGAACTGAAAGGTCCGGTTTTCGAAGGGCCCAGTTTTCGTGTCCTTACCTTCAATGTTACGCTGCGCGATGTAGCCCTAAGCAAGATCGAATGACGTAAATCACTTCAGATACTATACTTGCAGAAGATCTTCTGTTCTCCCCGCTGGCCGAAAAATGTGGAAAGTTAAGGCTTTAGCGGTACGTTGCACTTGTAAATATCTAGAGTTCATGTATTTAGGGGCCTAGTTTACAAGATACAAAACCATTGAGGTTGCGTGGACAATTATTGTTCATTTCGGTGTCTTTCAGTTTCAGATTACAATGTTTCAAAGTTGCTGATCGCGCACATGACTGAAGTCGTGCAAAAATTGTATAGCGCCGCTGTGCGGCGCTATACAATCTTTGGTCACGTGTCTCCACACGACTAGACTGAGCATGGGGGGCATGGACGCTCAGAATAGACGTGTTCCTTATACTATTTTCTCACTACCCTCACATTTCGGAGGGATGACTTGACATGTTGCAAAACCGTATTTTTCCAGGAAAATTTTTGATTCCTGGATGCACATTAAACATATCTAAAGTAATATTTATGTTTCTAAAAACAGTAATTCGATGGAGACTTTTCTTTCATTTAATTTTTTCAACAACTTTCAAGTAAAGTGACTGTGTGTGGTTTTACAATCAAAACCTACAAAATAAAAATGGATCGATATTTTGAAAAAAAGAGCTTATAAAAATATTCGTTAGGATCTAGATATTACAACCAACATGTGACATTCAGCAGGAAACTACATGTTACTTTCTCATCTTTTAGAACATGTGTACAATCCCAGTGCTGCAGTCCTGGGGCACTGGTGTCTACAGGAACTACACTCACCATCAGTGCTTACAAGAACATTTTCGTGTGTTATTGATGTGAACCTCCACCTCAACCTGATCCAAGTCATGCTCCTGCATCAGAGCACAATGTAGTGTTTTCTGCACAATTACTTGAATTATTTGCATTTATTTCTTTTAGTGAATTCAGCATTCAGAATCTTCCTTTTTAACTTTGACAACTTTTTCATTTCCTGTATACCCTGTTTGCCATTTCTTACTAGTAGACACATTTCTCACTGCATTTTCCTGGTAAGAGTACACCCATACGGTGTCTTGTACAGTGTACATGTATATTGTTTCCGATTATTTGACCTTGTTAGCCCAGAGGCAAGGCACACTTTAGCATGCTTCATTAAGCTTGTACTATCATTCACCAAGGACTTTGTTTTAAGGTGAAATTATTCATTCACAGTCATTGTTCTAAGAATCCAGCTAAGACATGTGATTAAGACTTTCCTTTCTTAAGTATCGTGACTTTAACTACATCCCGTTTCTAACTGTTGTAAGTCATGCATCATTGTACAGCTCCTCAGTATTCAGTATTAGTATAATAGTCTGCTTTTCATTCTCCAATTCAGTCAACAGTTAGCTTACAATTCTATCGCAATCTTCGCGGTCGTTCTTTCGAATAAAGTTGGTAACACTGAATCAATACTGACTCTTATGACGACCCAACAACAACATCGCTTCAGAGCACCACCACCACCAATGATGATAACAGTGATTGATTAACTCAGAGATTGATGTCGACAGAGACAAGCGCTGTGTTTTCCCCTGATTTCGACCCATTGCACTTGCAAACTCCGTCAATTTAACATCGCGGGGCCAGTGTATGTTAACTGCTTGCACTGGACGCATATCAAGTACTGTTGCAGTGTTACCCCCCCCCCCCCAGCAAGGGATACATTTGGTTGTCACACTTTGTCACGGTCTCCCATGCTTCAGTAGTAGTGAATGGAGAGTTCCAGACCAATCCCGGGCTAGATCCAATCCGGGTCCAATCCAGCCTAGGTCCAGTCTTAAAAATTTGAAAAAAAATTATTTCCAAAATATCTCAAACCCAATGGATCTTATTTTTACTACCCAATTCAAATACGCCAAGATAGTGGCTGCGCACGCCGCTTGGTTTACTTGCCCAATCCACTGCTGCCGCCGCGGACGACGTGATGGCCCAAGCCAAAACAAGATACCGACGACAGGAGCGTCGTATCTGATTGGTGAGGGAGACGAAAGACGGTCCTACAAATGTTATCACCCACAATTAACAAACATATAACCCTGATTACTTACTTTAACGATTCGTTGTGCCCTCTCTTTTAAAAAAAATGACAAAAAATCATCACATTTCACATAAAAACCATATCAAACCACGTCAAACTAAATGTCCTTAACAACGATCACGAACCGTCTTAATGCAGACAATATAGACCCAACCGTCGTATACGGCCCCTTTGACCCCGACAAACTCGTGATAGCAGACCCCATACTCAAAGAGAGTGAAACGGTAACGCAGCGCTATTCACCCGTTTTTCTATAATCACGATGACAAAGAAAACGTCTGTTGATATGATGCCAAAAATGGTCTGTTACGGCGTAAATCCAGTCTATACATTTGGCGTAAAGG